AAAGGGAATGTGCTAAGTTGAGATTTAAGAAGTGTGGCTAAGTTTTCACCAGCTCTGTTGAACTATGGCCATTCTTCATCAGAAGAATATGGTCAAGGGAGCTGTTACTACTTCAGCCTGAAAAAAAGAGGCGTGTGGAATAGTCATAAACATGACCTGGAGCCCAAAGCAAAGCCCATTGTGTCCAGCAGAACACTGCAATGTTACAGTTGACCCAGATAACCATGAGAGAGAAATAAATGTTTATTGTTGTGAGCCATTGAAATTTGGGGGATATTTGTTACACAGCACTACTACAGAAAAATCTGGGTAATATTCTCAATTTTTCACTAAAACAGGTCACATTAAATCAGATAAATGTAATATTGTAGTTAATCCAGATAAAATATGGATCTAGATTACAGTATATCCAAAAACTTAGTGGAGAAAATATAGATTGTTAAAAAATAGTGTGAAAATATTAATTAATCATTTGGAAAAAAATATGGTTAGATATCTACTTAGCCATTAGAAAAGAAAGTCTATATTGGTTAAAAATATAAATGTAGCCCTGGCCAGTTTGGCTCAGCGGTTAGAGCGTCGGCCTGTGGTCCGGAGAGACCCGGGTTCGGTTCCCGTTAAGGGCACATACTTCGGTTGCAGTTTGTCCCCGGCCCTGGTTGGTCGTGCGGGTGGCAGCCACTCGATGTGTCCCTTCACGTCGATGTTTCTGTCTCTCTCTCCCTTCCTCTCTCTCTCCCTCCCTGTACAAAAAATGGAAAAATGTCCTCGGGTGAGGATAAAATACATATATATATATATATATATATATGTAAAATATGAAAACATAAATACAGTGAGACTAAACTATAGGAGAATTTTTTTCTTAATAATCTTGTCATAAAGAATGTCTTTCTAAGAATGACACCAAACACATTAAATTTAGTGATAACTTATAAATATGATTACATAAAAACTTTGTGTGGCAAAAATGACAAAAACAAGGTAAAAAGGTTAAAGACATACTGAAAGAAATACATATCACAAATAAAAGATTAATATTTTTAATTTTTAAGAGCCATTTAAAAGTCAAGAACAATAAGATATATACTCCAAAAGAAAAGCAGGACTTGAATAGAATAGTTAATTTACAAATATAAAAATAACAACAGACAGTAAACATATGAAACCTCAATAAGCCTCATTAGTAATCAAGTTTTTGAAATTAAAAGAACAATGAAATACCATTCCTCACCTATTAGATTACACAAGATTTAAAAGATAATATTAACACTCAGTATTGAATAGGTTTGAAAACAAAATCACTGAGACATTTTTGGAGGACAGTTTGGCAGTATTATCAAAAGTCTTAAAGTTATGCAGACTTTTTGATCTAGCATTTTTATTTCTTAAGGAAATAATGGATCAAATGCAAAAAGATGTGTTAGAATATTAATTGTGAAATATTAGAAACTACCTAAGTGTTAATCTATGGAAAATTAATCAAATAAATCATGGAATACCATGAAATATAATATACATCTTAATGGTAGCCACTAGGAATTATGAAAACCTGCATTTATGGACATTAAGAGAAAGCAGTGATTATACTTAAGAAGGAAAAAAGAGGCTAAAAAGCAGTATGTATAGTAGTCTCACTTTATAAATAAATAAAATTAGTTCTTGAAGAATAGGCAAATACTATTAACTGGTTTTTTCCTAGATGACAGGATTATAGTTGACCATATAAGAAAGTACTTTTTTCTATAATATTTGAATGTGTTTTGCAGTGAGAATATTATATATTTATAGTTAAGAACAATAGCAATAAAACACTTTCCTTTTTGAAAAGAAGTATGGCAAATAGTATCTTCTACTATATATATGGAAAAATAGATCATATCTATTTTTTCTTCCTTGTCTAGGTTCTCATAATTTATTCATGGATATCCTATCTATACTAATAATTATTTTTGTTTACTGTTCCTTTGCATTTATTTTCAAAAAGTGACATTCATCTATATTTTAGAATATTACTCATAATTGCTATTTTCTTAAGCTATGTTTGCATAATTCAAAAAAATCATATAAATAAAAACAATTACATTGAGTAAAATTAGAGGATTTCTCCGTAAACCAATAATTTTAGCCTAAACTTGAACTGACCAATTACTTCAATATTATTTTTAAAGTTAAAGTCAAGAAAATTTTTAGGTCAACTTTTCCTCAATTATTTAAAAAAAATATATAATTAGAAAATAGTCTTCAAAAAGACAAATGGACTTTACAAACAATAGCAATTATGCAATATATATATTTATAACATTATATACCTATATTTATGTAAATAAAAGTCTATTGATATAGATTCATAATTTGCATGTACTTATAAATATATAAACCCAGGGATAAACTAATAAACTAATAAACTACAGAGCTTGTGTAGGACCCATCTGAAGTAAATTACAAAACTTTACTGAGAGGCATACAATGTTTTAAAAAATGTTCCTATATGGGAAAAGACAATATTAGAAGGATGTCCCAATTCACTTATAAATTTAATGTAATTCTGTTTTGAGTTTTTGGTGAATTTTTAAAGTCCCAGCTACCTATAAAGTCCACCTTATAGTAATAAGCAAAATCCCCTCATCTCCACAGTGTCCATTCCCACTCCCCAAAGGTAACCATTGTTAATAAGTTTTTTTTTTCTTCTTTTTTTGGTCTATTCTTCCAGAAATGTTGTATGTATCTAAAAAGCACACACTCACATACACATGGATATGCACATACACTTCTGTGATTTTTCCAACTTTTTATAATGATAGGAGAGATGGTGTATATACTGTCCTATGACTGGCTTTGTTCACTTAATATATCTTTGGCATTTTTCCATAGCAAAACATATGTTCTCAAGCGAATTTTTTTAATTTAATAAAGTAATTCTGAAGTATACAAAGAATAAATAGGAAAACATTACAAAGAAAACTTTGGGGAAAAACTACTGAAGAGACACTTGTGATACCAGATGTAAGAATGTATAATTAGGACATTATGATAAAGGTGGAAGAATAGAAAAATCAGTGGAGCAGAAATTAATCTCAGGAGTGGACCCTGAAATAGAAAAGCTTTCAGCTTGATTCAAAGTCTTTTTAAATCAGTAGGAAAAAGTATATTATTCAATAAATATTCAGGGACAATTACTTAACAATAGAAAAAATAATCAAATCCTCACCTCACATAATAAATCAAAGTAAATTGCAGATTAATTAAATCATTAGATGCATGAAATGAAAACAAACAACAACAAAAACAAAGTCATCAACTATGTTGGAAAAAATATAAGGAGATATTTAATCTTTGTGAGAAATAATTTCTTAACATACGTGCAAGGGTAGACATGTTAATGAAAACATTTCAGAAATTGATCATTTAAAAGTGAAAAAGTCAATAACAAAATATGATATTATCCTGAAAAAAAAACTTATAAAATGTATAGTACAGTGTTACTATTCTACTATGTAAAGAACTCTCAAATTAGTTTTTAAAACCAAACATCTCAACAGAAAAAAAAAGAAAGATGTATAGGAAAAAAGCAAGCCACAATGAAACAATATTAATAGCAAATAAACATATGAAATACATTAAATTTTTTAAGTAATCAAAGTAACGAAAGGCAGAAGAACAAAATTTTTTTTTCAAACATTAAATTAGAGAAACTTAAAAACATTTAGTGTTGCTGAAGATATGAAAAAATGGGCAGTCTCATACACATCCATTTTGTAAGACACTTTGGGTTTATGTTCAAAATTTGCAAAAACAAAACAAAATGTTTTTACCTGAAGTTCTTCTTTTAGAAACTTATGGGAAGGAAATAATTGTCTACAGAGAAGTTAGTCATAGCATTGTTTATAATGTAGGAAAATAAAAGCCATCAAATATACAGTGTTAGAGAACTTGTTAGATAAACTGTGGTGCACTATATAGTCATTCAAAATAATTATGTTGACAAATATTTAATAAAATAGGACACATTTGTGATATATTTTAAATGAAAAGTGTAGCTTACAATGAGAGATGTCATGTATTCTAATTATTTTTAATATATATGTAAATTATGCTGTAAGCATATACTGTAAAATAATAACAGTGGTTATCTCTAACTAGCTGGGTTGTGGGTGATTTTTATTTTATTTTATTATTTCCATAATTTTCACAATGAACACTTAGAAAAATAAAATACTTTAACAAATATTTATAACACAGACATTGAAATTTATGTTTTGTGTCAAGTGACTGGTCGCTTTGGTTTCCTTTGCTTACACATTATTCCAGGTCAGCATCTAGGCATTTTATTTTTTTAAATCATTAAAATAAAATTATATGTTGATTTTGTTAAAATAATAATCTTTTGCTAGACAAATCACAGAGCTAAAATATATTTTTATTTTTAAAAATGAAATAAATGACTATTTTAATTTTAAAATTCAATTAGCGTTATAGGCATTTAAATAGAGATTAAACGCCACCCCCCAATACCCTAGCAAATTATATTATATAATCTAGCTTCACTTTTTAATTAATGGGAACACCAAAAAGTATAATTTTATAATTTAATGCTTAGCAATAGATCATTTTAAATAAAAACTCTCTAAGTATTTTTTCATACATTATCCCTAGGGAACATGTCATACCAACATAATAGCAAATAGCTTCTAGAAAAAAAAATCTTGGTTTGTTCTTTCTAGAAGATGCTGACTTGTTGATTTGGTGGCAAACATAGGTACACATTTCATATAGAAAATAAAATTAATGTAAACTTAATGAAATATTGAAATTTCAAAGTGCAAAGCAGCTAGTTAAAACTATCCTTCTGTTCACATAGCCTTCTTTCATTTGCTATTTATATTAGTAAAATAAACTTTGCACAATTTTCAATGGTTAATTAATATAAAACTTAAAAAGATTCCCAAATAATATTGTATTGATCCAAATAAATATGATCTTTTAGAATCTGGTTTTAGGTGTAACTAACTTGGCTGGCAGTTTGATAAGCAACACCTGAATGACATAAACAGGAGGTGGTAAATTCCAAGCACAGCCTGCATGAGAAGTGCAACTAATTTTCCATAACCCAGATGCCTTTTTAACACATCCATGCAGTCTCCATCTAAGACCAGGTGCTGTTCCCAAAGGAGAAAACACTGCCCTCCAGTGGTCTTCTTTGGAGAAATGAAAACAGTTTCAGGTACCATGCTTGCAACATTTATATAAAACACCGTGTATGTCTCTAGTCTAATTTCTGGCTGTATTTCTTAAGCTGAAACCTACATATACAACCGAACATGAGGACAAAGCCTCCAAAGTAAATTCTAATATATAGGTAGTTAGTCCAGTTAAAAAGAACTATTAGCTGAGAGCAATGCTCATGACTTTCTGACCCCAAAAGCTGACCATGTATTTGACTATCATAATAGATTATGCTGGCTACCTATAGCTTCTCACTTCTCAGATAAGGAAGAAGAGATTTCATCTCTATGTTTCCCTTGTTGGCCAATTTTTTAGCTAAAAGACATTTAAAATTGTACAGCAGGCAGAACCCCAGGGGACCGAACAGTGTTCCAACATCCTTAAAGGCTTCCCATCACTTGAAAAACCAAATTCTTTCTCCTGTTTCTTAAACTAACCAAAGTAGGCAAAAGCAATTTTAAAGTCTTTGTGTCTAGCATTGGAACTTTCTCATATTTCACACCATTATATAAATGTCACTCTAACCTATATGTATCACAAATGCTACGCTAAATTAGGGCCAAATTTGCAACCTAGTTTAACTGGGTTTCCTCTTTTTGCAAATGCAGTTTTTGTGTCTGCATTTAGCAATGCATACAAAACTGTCCGGGTAGCTAACTGCTTCGAATTGCTAAAATTGAGGATGGATGTGGAGATTGCCTAAGTCTCTATGCATGTGCCAAAGCAATCCTGTTTCCAGTCATATAAAGACTTCCTAATCAAAGGGGCCTCAACTACACTGCTAAAGTCTTGGACTACTTCACTGACTCTTTTTGATTTAGTAAAGGAAAAATGGAGTTCTAAGAGGGGAGGGATGGTTTCCAACTTCCTCTATGCCCCTATCTTTCGGACACCAGAGTGGAAGTGCCTCACACGGTAAGAGCGTGGACTTTGGATTTCCACAGCCAGAGGGGCTCATCCATTACCAGCTATGTGACTGACCTTAGCCTCATTTGCCTCTTCAGGAAAATAAAGCTAATAATGCCAGCCTCATAAGGTGGTCATTACGACGGAATAAGGGGATCTATTGGAAGTGTCTATCACAGAGAAAGAACTTAACCAAGAAATTATTATTATTCTATCACCGTCACTTCTTGGACTATTAATCTAATGGCCAAATAAATTTCCTAGAAGCATGATTTTCTAATTACCCTTTGTCATCGAAAGTAAAGGCTCCCCATTCCGTTTATGGGAAATGTCTGAGTCCTCCAGATAAATTCTTTAAAATAAATGCCCCATGCTGAGATAAAACATTTTAACATCATATTGCTCAAATATAGCACCTTTAACTATGAAACAAATTGTTTCTTCTTTTCACTCCCACAGAAGGTGGTATCTATTATATATTCACAAAGTGCTTTAGAATAAAAAAATGAAATATAAAAATCCTAATTATTATGAAAGTAGTATAGGAAGTAGATATATTTTCATATATGGTAGTGAATTATGAAGTTTCTGGGCTTGAGAGTGCACACTTCCACCACCACACCTGTTCTTAGAAAATGGACACTTCAGAAAGAAATATCGCTTCCTTCAGGAGATAGTCACTCTCCTTTCAGATGAAGAAAAAGCTACAAAAACATTTTAATAAGACACATAGTTTCCCCTTTTCACAAGTTGTGGTAGTATATTTTTACTGAGCCATGGCCCCACATCTTCATCTCCTCCTACTGTGTACACCTGTAGTGTTATAAAACGTAGTTTTTCTCTGGATACATTAATTGAGTGCTGTCTTCACTATCTATGACAGCTCACCAATCATCACATTATGATGCCTTGTTCATACAACATAGAATCTTTGATTAATCAAAACAGTTCTTATAGAGCAAACTGCTTAGGATTTAAAACAGTAGGATATATTGAATTGAGACTACAACAATGATTTGATAAGTATCCTATACTTATCAAACTCTTAGAATATTTTGAGTTGAAGTGCCACTTGAAGACGGAGCAAACTTAAGTCCAGGTAGAGCTTGCAGTGGTGTAGATGGGTTGTGCTGAAGCTCATGCATAATACTATCTATGCATCAATAAATGCAAAGAAAATAGACTTTGGTTATAACAGTTATAGCTACTCTAAATTAGTCTCAGAATTGGACAATGAAACATGAATTTGTGACAAACATTCTGAATTTTTAAAAATGCATCATATTTGTAACAGTACCAAAATAATCTAAAGTCAGAACACTTTTTCTGTGTATAATTATATTATTATAATTCTCTACCTTGACAGATGACAATTTTAGAAAACTCTAAATACAAGTTCTAGTATATGCACTAAAATAAAACATAACAGATAGACAATTCACCATAGTATAAGTAACACATTCAAATTTAGTAATTTATTTTCCAGGTGGAAACCAGTCTTCTTGGAAGACTTCAAACTCTGCCAAATGGTCTGATTTTACCATAGAGGTAGGCACTAAAGGACTAAATTTACTTCTATGTAATCTTTCTTAACTACATTTTACATGCAAATGTCTATACAGCCATGTTAATGAAGTTATGGAGAAGGAAAGAAAGTTGGCATTCCATTGTTCTGTTTTATTCAAAAGCAACTTTTCAATTGACTTGCTACATCATTTAAAACTACTTTTTAGTTGGTCACAAGAAAAAAAGAGAAATCTAACAATGTATTCAAATTCAATCACAAGTCAAGAAAAATAATTCCTTATGAATAAAGTTTAGATTTCACAAATTTTCTCCTATACCTTATAATCTTCAGAACATGGGATACTTCTATTGGAACCAGACAAAAAAAAAGTTCTATTAATAATAAATATTTAGAAAAGCACCATCTTCTGACCCTGAGTTGGTTATTTAGAGGATGGAATTTTTGTCCTCCTAAGTAGGGACTCAGATTTTTCTCTACTCCTAATGAGACTGGATGCTTAATTGACAGTTATCCAAAAATCTTTTTCCCCCCAGGAAATATAAATAAATGTATTTAAATTCCACATGGGTGAATTTCCTGTTAAAAATTTCATATTCAAGCTTCAAAATCTATATTGGCAATGAAAGTTTACAGTATCCTTTCAACTAGAATGTTAATAATACAAAACTTGTCTTGGATTAAAAGTGTCCCTAGGGTATATGAAAAATGTTTTTAAACTAAAGGCACACTTGATTTGCAATAAAATAGTAAGTAATAATGCCAGAAGTGTAAGTGATAAAAGGAGAAAAAGGCAGAAAAAAATGGTCACAACTATGCATTTATGGCACATATTACAGCCAGAATTGATACAATTTCATCCCAAAACATCCAGAAAAATAAAGCAAAATAAACCTCTTTCACCCTTACACATTGAAGAGAATCGGGATCCTGACCCAAATTTTAAACTCTGTAAAACCCCCAACACCAACGTTTCTAAAACCTGCCACATCCCAGAAATAGGCAGATCTTCAACCATGGAAATGTGACTATTAAGAATTCACAGATTATCTGAAACATTTGCTAATCACCCCACCCCCGTGCTAGGGGGAGAGGAAGCCTCAAAGCATTAGGGAAAGCCTACTGTGAAAATGCCAGGCCCTTTTTGGGGTTTAGGTTGTCAGCCTAATCCCAGCCACAACTATTGTGTGACTGTATCAGGGAAACAGTGTACTTGTGTGTGAGATTGGGGTGGGGGGACCAGAATGTTAAAAAATTTAACAAAGTCATATGATTTTTTTCTTTAAACATTTGAGAGTGTTGTGTTTATACATGCTGGGCAACAGAAACCATAAATCTTGCTGGATTTCTGCAAACTGCTGCATGAAGCATGCAAGCAGCACTTCTGTCAACGGGAGGAAGAGACAGACAGAAATCAAGACGGAGACAGGCAGCACCCCCAGGACGTGAAGCTTGTTCCTACTGCAAGCTGTAGTGAGAGGAGATGATGACATCCAGCACAAAATGTCTATTCACGAGGATGCTGAAGCTCTTGCCTTGTGATCTCTGGGTATGGAAAGGACTTCATTTCCCTCTTTTCCGAAATCAAAATATGAGGGCTTTTTAGTTATTTTTAAACTTCTTCCTGTAGAGTCCATTGTTGTGTTCCAGGAAACAAACAGAAATCAGCAAGACACAAAGACTTGACCTGCAGGAGGGAAGGCAATAATAAAGAGCAGGTCCTCTCCAGAGGGCAATTAATCCTTAGTCATTCATCTTAGAAGTCCCAGTTACAGTTGAGGTTAATGTTCAGGTAGCTTCTTTCTATTTTCTTTAAAAAATTTTTTTAAACATTTTTTTTCCAGAATGTTATACTATTAATTGCCAATTTGCATATGTGTGCAGCTGCTGTTTTGGCTCTGAACTCAATCCGATAAGCTTGCTGGAGGTATCACAGAGCACTTGGCAGCTTTCCTGTTTGAAAAGAAAGCCTCTCCCCACCACAGAACAGCTGATCGTCTATCAGCCATAGACCCTGATGGCGTGAATTACAATTACACTACTTTTCACACTAAATCTGGGTGATAGCTACTTGGAAAGAAGTTTCATCATTTTTTACCACAAACTGGAAAAAGAATTACATGGTCATGCTGTGCTTTTAAAGGCAGTTTGGTTCACTTTTGTCTATTTAACACCTAATTCCAAGAAGTCCATAGGCATCCAGAGCTCTGAATGGCGGGTAATGAATTCACTGTTTAGATGGAAGATTTAAAAAATCTACCTCAAATTACATTTATTTACAAGGCGACCAGGAAGTGTTAAAGTTGTTAGACGCTTCATTTATTAAATAATTTGTGGGTATTTTCAGTTGTCATATCTAGAGTCATGGGGTTTGCTTATTTTTTTTAATTAGCAATCCAAAACAATGCTACTGCGATTTAACAATTCATCACATAATCTTGGGCTCTTCAGTTCACTGTGCATGTTAGATAATTCAGATGGTTACTTTGCTGTCTTCAGAAAGGACTGGGGCTGCGTTGTGCTGTGAGAAGGCAGCAGCCCAAGCCGATCTTTCTCATCTCTCCTGCATTGCTCAGGAGAGCTGGGGCCTTCCAAAAAATGTATTTGGGGAGTTTAGCATCTAACAGGAGGAAAAAAGTGATTGGGGCAGGGGACCCCAATAACTTGATTTGTTATCATTACTTAGTTAATTTCCTTATTAATGTACATTTCCTACCTGTTTGGAAAACTAAGGACCTCTTCACCAAAGTGCATCTTATCAGAATCCTCCATCCCTCTCCCTCCTTTGCTGGGACGTTAGAAAGTACCTTCTTTTCTCTTGCTAGAACCCACCCATCATCAGAAAATGTAAGAGGCCCCTGAAGGCCCCTCTTCTTTCCTCTCACTCTTCCTTCTCATCGTGACATTTAGATGCATTTGTTTAAAAGAAAGAAAAAAAGAACAAGAGTGAAACCCACCCCAAGCAGCAGAAGTGGAACACACTCAACACTCGCCCTGACGTAGTTAACCTAAGAGGAAAATAGATTTTGTTTTCCCTTTTTAGTCGCTAGCTTTATTAGAGTTCTCACTCTCACAGATTATCCGAAGACTACCCATTGATTGATCGCCCGTAGAGCTGCATTTGGTGTAAAGAAAAAAAATCACAGCTTTATTGGCTCCCAGGAGACAAAACAAACAGAACAAGATATTCATATTAATGCAAACAATGCAACAAATGAGGGGAAGAATCGCCGGCTGAAGCGAGGCGCAGCGCGGCCGGCCGGGTCGGGAAGGGCCTGGGTGCCTCCCGCCCCGGAGCCGAGGTTTCCGGCCTCCCGGCCCCGGGCGCCCGGAGCAGCCGGTGTCCTGCGCCGCTGGCCGGGCAGAGGGGCCTCGGGCCCAGGCGCAGGCTCTCCGACCTCGCGGCCTGACAGGCCGAAGCCAGGAGGAGACCTGCAGTCCAGGCCGCAGGCCCTCCACCTCCGCAGTGCAGGGCTGGCTGGGCCCAAGAGCCCACTCGCTTCCTTCCCCTTCGTGCGCCTGCAGGGCCCGTCCCCGAGTCTCAGTGTCCCTCCAGCTGGGCCCCAGGTGCCTCCCTGAAGACAGCAAGAAGTCACAGGGAACGCTGTGGAAGGCAGGAAGAGGTGTAACACGCACTCTTGCTTTGAAGAGCTCACATCATCTTGGAGACTATATAAACACACCACAAAACAGTGTGTCATCAGAAGCGAGGGGAGTAGTTTGTGCAGCAAACTATTTAAGAGGCCCCGAGACTCCCCACTGAACGAGAAAGGAAGAAAGAAAATTCTAGGCACAAAAAAGGATATTTGCTCCCCATCGAATCACTCTTCCTGTCCCTCCCCAAACCCTCAAAAAGAAAAAAGAAAAGAAAATCTGTTAAACCTTGATTCCACATCTTTACAGTCAATGATGTATTAAAAAATGGGGTCGCCAAATAGGGTATACTTATAATAAAAGTCATGTATTGTTTATTTGAAATCCAAATTTATCTGGGCATCCTGCATTTTTATTGGCTAAATCTAGGTATTCTAACTAAAAATATATACTTTTTGGAAGAAACCATGTAAGAAGACAGGCTCATTCTCCAATGCATATCAATCAGGATACTTGGATCATTTTTATTAGGACTTGCCCTTGGAAAGGAAATGAGTCATCCCCACAGCACACTTTTCCAGGCACACTGGAGGGTGGAAGAGGCAGAAAAGACTGAAACTCTTGGAACTGTCCTTCTATTTGGGAAGAAGTGGCAGTGTCACTGTGGACAGGAAGATGGACCAGCAGCGCTCCTTCCCCGGGGCTGACTCCGCGCAGGCCAGTAGAGGGTACCACAGCCTGTCTGGAAGTAGAGTGGAAGTTACTATGGTACTCCCATTCAGGATTATACATTTTTTTTCTAAACTCTTACTTAAATGAGCCACATTACTCATTGGTATTTCCTTTATGGGGCGGGGTGGGGGTGGGGATTGGGACTTGGAAACTTTAAAGGCAGAAAGGCAGAACAAAATCTGCTTTGAAATCCAGGTTCTCTAAACTACAAATAGCTCTTACCCAGGCCTTGTAGATGCTGAAAGGAAAGACGTTGACAATGCCAATGGTAAAACCTCAGGAAAAGCGAAACAGAACAGTGGGCCTTTGCATATTGGTGTGCTGCATTTGTGTGTGTGAGTGTGTGAGTGTGTGAGTGTGTGAGTGTGTGTGTGAGTGTGTGTGTGTGTGTGAGTGTGGTGTGTGTGTCAAAGCTGCTTAATAGAGGAAGCCTGCTGCTTGCTTTTCTTCCTCAGTCCGGGATAGAGAAGCTTTTTCAAGGAAGCTTTATCACCCTTACTGATTCTTCGGATTCCCAGTGAGCTTGCCTTCCTTTTAAGCCAATTGCTTGCAGTTGCATAATGCCCCTTTCTCACTGGCGATTAGTGCTATTTAACAACTTTAAAAAGGAGAAATTATTTATCTAATGAGTGCTGTTTCCAGAGTTGATTCACCAACATCTGAAAAGAGAATATAGTGCTGAGACCTCCTCATGAGC